TCGACCAAATTCTTTTTGTCTTTTTAAAAACAAAATTAAAAATCTAATTTTTTCCCTCGATAACATTTTAGAGTACTATTAAATAATTTATCTATTATTTAAATTTTTAATATTTTTTCCCTAAAGTTTTGTTGTTAACAACTATTTATATTTAAAGGTTTGCTAATGTAAAAGTTCTATATATATATTTTACTTTACTGTAACGTATACTTTACAAGGTATTCGTAAATTATATTGTTTATAAATGTTTTTTAAGGTTCCGATGATAAGATCTTAATGATCTTCTTTCGGAAACCTAGTTTACACTGTTATCACGATTTGTATATATATATTTGTAAAGTAATTTTAATAGTTTATTGTATTGTAAAGCGACTAACTTTGTAAGCTGAAAAAAAAAAAAAAAAAAAAAAAAAAAAAAAAAAAAATCATCAGTCCATCACATGTTATACTCCAAACATTCAGATTATGAGTAGCGCATAAATGTAAAGCTTTTTTAATTAGACAACTTAAATCCGTTGAGGAAATTTTATCACACAATATATAGCCTATAGGACATTTCCAATGGCCTTTCAATCCAACAACCATAAAAATAAGTGCTTCTGTTGCTAATTTATCTGGGTCATAGGCTAGAATATTGTTTCCAAAACTAGAAAAACCTTCATATGATCCAGTAACATTATCATACCGCAGAGCAGCCCTGATATGCATAGAATCAAATGTTAATGCGCAATCTTTGTATGATGAATCCTCAAATGTCTTATTTTGTAAAAACTTGAAAACATCTCCAAAAAACCCAGGCAAACAATCTACAGATGAGGTCCAGTTTGAAAGTGAGCTTACGGCAGGTAATGAGAATGTAAATTTAACAAATTCATATGCTCTTGGAGAATAAAAGTACAGTGTTAAAGCAAATTTTTTAACTTCTTCAGAGTATCTATAACCTTTTTTTTTTTTGCCTCTATTTTTTAATTCAGATTTCAAAAGTTCTTTAGTCAGTCCAGAGAAGTTGTTCTCAAGTAATTCAGCAACATCAATGGAAATAATTTTTTTTTTCTCCAAGATTTGAATAACTTTGCTTAGTGAAGCAATTTTTTTATCTTTTCGTTTAAGCTTTTGTTTTAATATTTTAATCTTTTTTCTAAGTAATAGTTTTTTTGGAGAATTTTGTTTAAGTATTTTTTCCTTAATAGTATTTGTAATTTCAAGCTCTGTTACCTCTTTATTCGAGATAGAACAAATTGTTTTTTTAATGTGTGATGTATCATCATTATATAGCTGATTTCGCTTGTTATTTTTGTTCAATGATTCATGAAAGTCAAATATTGAAGGCACAATATTTTTTTTCAGCACACGTTTGCCATTCTCTTGACACTCAAAATCTTTTAATTTAAAATGTTTACTGCAGATTCTACTATGTTTACTAGGTGTAATTTGTAAACATTTAGTTGCTGTTGCCCATTTTTTACATAAAATTTCATCATTTAAAGGGAATCTGTGAAAAGAAATTAAACTACTTTTACCAAATCTGCTTTTACAGTTGTAAACTGAACAATTAATAACCATGTTTATTATTTGTTACTCTAAAAAAATAAAAAGTATTGTTTTCAAAAATATATCTTTTATGTTTTATAAATACATACACACACACTCAAACGCATTATCCCAGACTTTATCATATATAATATCATTTGAATAAATATATATATACATATATATATATATATATATATATATATATATATATATATATATATATATATATATATATATATATATATATATATATATATACATATATATATATATATATATATATATATATATATATATATATATATATATATATATATATATATATATATATATATATACATATATATATATATATATATATATATACATTATATTATATATGATATAATCTGGAGCGAGTCTAAATAAATGTCTCAGTTTAAAAATGTAAATATTTAAAATATATATACTTAAAATTAATTAAGTTAAAATAGTACGTAAACTTATCCTATATATTTCTTTATAATAAAATACAATATTTTTAAGAGTTATATATACCCTCGTTATTCAAGTAATATTACTTGAATAACGAGGGTATATATAACCCTTAGAAATATTGTATTTTATTATAAAGAAATATATAGGATAAGTTTACATACTATAACAGATATTTTAACTTAATTAATTATATAAAAACTCATCTAAGATGTTAACTTTTAAAAATTATATACTTAAAATATTTTCCGAAGGTTCAGTCTTTTTACTTTAAACTAAAATTAATAGCTTAGCAGTTATTTTTTATAATAGAAAGTTAAAAGTAACTGACGTTACTTTTAACCTACACTTATAAAATTATCCAATACTAAAGCATCTCACAATATCATTCCAACCTGACTAACTTTTGAACCCATTTTCTGATTTAACTGACACAAATATTTTTTGTTTGGATTTAATTTTTGCTCTTTGTCTTTCCGTAATATTTGTTAACCAATCAGATGCTGGTTGGCAAAACAAGTTATTAGCCAATCATATGCTGGTTGGCAAAAAAAATGTGCTTCACTTTTTTTCGGAAGTTAGACATCTAGTTAATATATATCATTGGTCATACCATAAAACATAGAAACGAGGTCGGCAATACTTGCCGACCTCAAACACTTTTAGGTCGGCATTGCTGAATGCTGACCCTAATTCCGAGGGTTGCAAATGTATATACAAATAATTTTATATATGTATAAATAATTATATATAAATGTATATAAAAATTATTTTTTTTTTAATTATTCACCTCCCCAAGGCCCGAGGGGGCCACTACAGTCAAGGAGGCTAGTAATTTTTTTTTTTGTAAATCGTGGTACAACCCTCTCTCAACTCTTTAACCCCGTAACACGGGGTTTGTTATCTTACACTTTTATCTTACATTTTTTTTACACTGTTATCTTACACTTTATCAATGGAAATTTGTGCCATTCTTTTGCTGACGAAAGGTTGTTTTTCAGTGCATGATTATAGTTTTTTTTGGGACAATAAATTTGTTGCTATTCTTTGTCAATCCACTTGTTTAGTGCATAATTACTTGGTTAGAAAAACATGCAGAAAAACTTTCCTTTAAAGTTGGGTTATGCTTATACTTATTAGGCTTTTGGTCATAAGAGTATTCATTGTACAAAATCGATGACTCATGATGGTCAAAATATTCTTTTAGATTTTCGCAAGATAAGAAATCATTTCTTTTAGAAGTTCCAACATTCGATTTTTTTTTATATGTACTGATGAAAATTCTAGTATTTTTTAATATTCTTTTTGGACACATCTACTGCGTCTCTTTTCGTATGCCCTTTTTGTAAAAGACATAAATGAATCTTGGTTTCTTGATAAAAACGATAAGTGCACAACCAATAAAACAATCTTTTGTGTTATTGAAAAACACTCATATTATGAGTGTTTCTCAATAACAATAATTGTTTTTATCGAGAAACCAAGATTCATATATGAGTCATATATATATATATATGACCAAAAGATTCTAATATGCATTCATATCTAATATGCATCTAAAACAGAGCAAAAATAGTATCTCTAGAATCAGATGTCTTTTTGATCTCTAATATACGTCTAAAATATACGTATCGGCAATAGATACAAATTAGATCATTTTTAGACGGTCTAAAAGACGTCTATTGTTTGCTGGGTAACAATATTTTTTATAACTTTATTGCTTATTATTTAAACTGTTAACAGTTAATATCTTAAATATATCGTAACATAAAATCTTTTGCGTCTTTTTCGTAACTGCACATTCCGGAATGCTCCTTCCGAAAGGAACTATTTCGTAAGTATTCTTACGAAATGATTTGTTTCGCAAGTTTTTTTTCGCAATGCTTTATTACGGAATTTTATTTATTTGTATTTTGGTAGAGTGCGTTAAGGAATGTGCATTCTTGCATGTGCAACTTCCGGAATAACAGTTCTATTATGGTAGATAAAGATGCAAAATTTTCGCAAGTTTTGTTTTTCGGCGAGCAACCCTAATTTATACTGTTTTTTTTTTCACATCATAAAGTAAGTTCAAAAAAAAGCAGAGCAACTTAAACTTCACTGCTCGCAACTAAGAAATCTTTTGGTATGTTCATATTACCTCGGTACTTATACTACTCGAATCTGCCTTATAGAAGATTTTTACCATATTCTTTTACATAAAGTCAATGTCACATGATTTTTAAAAATGTGGTTTACATAACTTTTAATTGAAGTATCATATTTCTTATCATAAGTTTTTTCACCTTTAATGGTAAAAATGTTCATCATTGTTTTATGAAAAATCAAACGTACATTGTATTTTCGACAAACAAAAACACCTAAATAAACAAGGATTTTCTTTTAGATATTAAAAAACAGATTTCAAAACGTTTATTTCAAGCTATATGTTAAACTAATATGTTAAAAAGTGTGCATATAAATACAGCTATAATGCTTTTTGGATAATTATCTAATTATATGTGAAGATTTTTGTATAAGAAGTATCTTTTATTTTTCAAATTATTTTTATAACATTTATTAATGCTTTATACCATTTTTTAGCAAAACTGCTAATCTAAACTAAATAGAATCAAATCAAGAAGATTGTCATAAATTTAGTTGTTTTATGGGTAATTTTTTAAACAAATGCCTGTTTTTTTTATTTCTGATTCAATGATGCTTTCATTTATCAGTAGTAATAGTAGTAGTAGAAGAAAATTTAGTAGTATGAAATTAAAGTGAAGTTAAAGTAATTTATTAATAATATGAAGTAACTTAAAAGTTATTTTAAAAGTAATAAACTAAATTAATTTTTAAAAGTAATTTAAAATAGTAATTTAAAAAGTAATAAATTAAATTTGTGGTAAATGGTAATATCAATAAAATAAATACAAATGATAAAAAAAAAAATTATTCTTTTTTATTTTCCACTGAAAAAATTATTCAAATTTATATAACATAAAAACTGTGGATATATGATAATTCAAACTAAAAAATTAGTATAGTGTTTGTATAAATGCGTTTACATCTCAACAAATTTTAGGTGTAAAAAAAGAAAGAGAAAGAAAAAAATATATATGCCAATTTTAGTTTTCTATTTTTTTTCCTAGTTCATTAAAAGTGTCTGTCAGAACTGATCTTAACATTCAGTTCAAAGACTACGAAATATTTCTGTGTCATAAAAGTTCTTTTTGTCTATCCTACGTTTTTCAACTTTGTAAAATGTACCAACAGGTTGGTCATGAAGACAGCATAACAGGTTAGTTAAAAGTTTACATACTTGCTTACAATACATATCTACACGTAGAAAAAATCAAATATACAAATACACTTTTATGTAAAAGATGTTAGGGGAATAGTGGATCGAGGGGCACAGTGAACAGAGACAATACTACAAATAAATAGAGGGAAGGGGATTAATCCTTAAAAATTATCGACTGGCTTCGTAAAAAAATAAAAAAAAGGTCCTCAAAACTAAAATTTAACCAAACAGCCGACACTAATTTCGTGAAAAAACCGACTATAACTTGAAAATCACCTTCTTAAGGGATTTAATACTCTTCCCCCCCCCCCCCCCCCACATCGTAAAATTGCCTCATTTATGTGCTCCTATATCACCCATCTTTATTTATAGTTGTTACTAAAAAATGTTTGACAATCTGTTTTGATTAGGTAATTTTTGTTTTTAGCTAACTAAAGTACATTTTCTTACCTTCCTTATGATTATTATGGAGATCATGGTTAAAATAATTTTTTAAATTGAAGTTCGGATAATTGATAATTATGCTCATGCATAATTTTTCACTGTGCCCCAGTACTGGGGCGCAGTGAATAACGTAACACAACTCAATTTAAACCTTTCTGTAAACCGTTAGATAAAAAATATATTCGGGTTTTTGTGATTTATTATCATGAAGGATATATATATATACACATACACATATTTACACGTATTTATAATGTATTATATATACACATAAACATAATCATACATAAATACGTACACATTGACATATACCTATATATATATATATATATATATATATATATATATATATATATATATATATATATATATATATATATATATATATATATATATATATATATATATATATATATATATACATATATATATATATATATATATATATATATATATATATATATATATATATATATATATATATATATATATATATATATATATATATATATATATATATATATATATATATATATATATATATATATATACGGTTAGATGCATACATACATATACATAAATATATGTATATTCGCACACACGTAATTTATTTGTTATTATTTTTATTTTTTTTTATTACATATATATATTTTTATATTTCTATTATTTTATTATTATTATTATCACTTTTTTCATTAATTGTTGCTTTACAACTTTATTATAAATTTATAAATAATCGTATTATAATAACAAGAATTGTTTAACATAATATACATTTTAAAAGAAAAGTATATAGAGTTTTTAGAATTCGTTATAAAAGAAAAAAAAACTATTAAAAAAAAAATAATTTTATCCAAACATTTGCTTTACAAGTCGGTAGAACACACGCTATAAAAAAATGTCTAATTTCATAGGCCGAAAATTAAAATCAAATAAAAAGTTGAAATTAAAATTTAGTGCAAATTTAATTTTTACTTGTATTCTCTAGAGTAACAATAATTATTTGATGTCAAGTTGTTAAGTCACAAAATTGTTAAGTTCACAATTTACATTAAATTAAATTTTGTTGACGAAAATATATATAACTGTTATAGTGTAAAATTTATTAAAATTTTAAAACTTTAGTTATCAATTTTTCAAAACTCGTATAACTTTATATATATAAAAACTTTTTTTAACGCGCTGCATTTGAAAAAATGTGAAAAGTTTAGTAAAAAGTTTTCATTTAATAAATAATATTAAATTCATTTTAATTGAAACAATAACTTTTTATAATACATCTAACCGTGCGTCTATTTTTAGGTATTCAATCTTTTTCAGAAAATTTATTTTCACGCAAGAAATTACTAAGGGAAATTCAAGATTATTTTTTACAAGATGCAAACAACTCATCTTTAGTATTATATGGAATGTCGGGCGTCGGAAAGACACATATTGCAAGAAAATTTTGTGAACAATCTAATAACTTTTATAAAAACATTGTTTGGATTGACGCAGCATTTGGAATGTTACAAACTTCAATGAGAAACCAATGTCAAATATTAGGATTAGAGGTTCATGATTTGAAAGGAGATTATTTAAATATAAAAGTAATTGTTGAAAAAGTTCACAACTATTATAAAAATGAAAAGACTTTGTTTATTTTTGACAATGTCGATGATGAAAGTGTTAAAAATTTTTCAATTTACATTTCAAGAAAAACGAATTCATTCACGTTGATTACCTCCCAATGGAAAACTTGGTCAAATAATGTAAATAAAATGTTAGTTGATGTTTTTTCTTCTAAAGAAACTTACTTACTTATGTAAAAAATAATATTAAAGAAAACAGCGACGAAAATATAAGAAACTTAATTAAAGAACTTGGTTATCATCCGTTTGCAATTACTCAGGCAATAAAATATATAAATATACATAAAGTTTCGATAGAAAAATACATAGATCAATATAGATCAAAACCATTAGAAATATTAGACAATAATAACTTTCACACCGAAGAAGAATCAAAGTCTGCAATAAAAGCAATCAACTTAGTTTTAACAAAATTAGAAAAATCTAAACCTTTTCCATTTAAAATATTAAACTGTTTATCTCATTGCGACGGTAAAAACATCAAAAAACGTTTTATAACAAAAATCTCAAATCAAATGGAACTAAACGACGAATCTTTAATAGATGAAGCTATTGGATTACTAATGAGTTATTCTTTACTAAACTGTTTTGATGATAAAAAATATACAATACACGAACTGACACTGTTAACATGTAAATGTTTTCAAAAGAGAAATTCAAGTACAAAAACATATCTTGATTTAATCGAAAATTATTTTAAAGTTGAATTGAATGAAGTAAAAGATCACATGGATTACGGAAATCATTTTGTTTTTCATTTTATCTATATGTTTCGTACTAATAAAAAAAAATTTATGGAAACCTTCCATCATATGACAACTTCTATTCAAAAGTTATTAGAATGTAAAGGTTTATTTGAAGAAGCAATCGAAATACTAAAAGCTGTTCAAAATTTTAATACAGAAACTTATGGTGAAAATAACATTACCACGCTTGATACAAAACATAATATCGCAAAGTGTTTGAACAAAATGGGAAAATATAACGAAGCTTTAGAAATTTATTATTCTGTTGATAAAATACAAACTGAAGTTTTAGGTATCAACCATCCGTCTACAATGACAACAAAACATAATATCGCAAACTGTTTGAGCAATATGGGAAAGTATAACGAAGCTTTAGAAATTTATTATTCTGTTGATAAAATACGAACTGAAATTTTAGGTATCAACCATCCGTCTACAATGGCAACAAAACATAATATCGCAATCTGTTTGAGCAATATGGGAAAGTATAACGAAGCTTTAGAAATTTATTATTCTGTTGATAAAATACGAACTGAAATTTTAGGTATCAACCATCCGTCAACAATGACAACAAAAAATAATATCGCACTCTGTTTGAACAACATGGGAAAATATAACGAAGCTTTAGAAATTTATTATTCTGTTGATAAAATACAAACTGAAATTTTAGGTATCAACCATCCGTCTACAATGACAACAAAACATAATATCGCATTCTGTTTGGACAACATGGGAAAATATAACGAAGCTTTAGAAATTTATTATTCTGTTGATAAAATACAAACTGAAATTTTAGGTATCAACCATCCGTCTACAATGACAACAAAACATAATATCGCATTCTGTTTGGACAACATGGGAAAGTATAACGAAGCTTTAGAAATTTATTATTCTGTTGATAAAATACAAACTGAAATTTTAGGTATCAACCATCCCCATACAATGACAACAAAAAATAATATCGCTCTCTGTTTGAACAATATGGGAAAATATAACGAAGCTTTAGAAATTTATTATTTTGTTGATAAAATACAAACTGAAATTTTAGGTATCAACCATCCGTCTACAATGACAACAAAACATAATATCGCACTCTGTTTGAGCAATATGGGAAAATATAACGAAGCTTTAGAAATTTATTATTCTGTTGATAAAATACAAACTGAAATTTTAGGTATCAACCATCCCCATACAATGACAACAAAAAATAATATCGCTCTCTGTTTGAACAATATGGGAAAATATAACGAAGCTTTAGAAATTTATTATTTTGTTGATAAAATACAAACTGAAATTTTAGGTATCAACCATCCCCATACAATGACAACAAAGCATAATATTGCAAGCTGTTTAAATAATTTAGAAAAGCAGCAAACGAGTTGTTTAATTATTTGATTAATATATTAGTTTTAATAAATATAAAGTTTATCTGTTGATAAAATTTAATTGACGAACGTTTTTCTTTAAACGTTAGAACTCCCTATTTAATTCTTATTTAGAAAACCCTAATTTTTAATAAACTTTCAATTAAGAAATAAAATATTGGCTGTTTTGTTTTTTATAGCTATTAAATTTTTATATATTGAAATTTGGTTATATTAGTAATTATAAAAATTAAAAGAGGTGAAACTTTTTTTAAATTAATAAGTATTAGTTTTGGTTCAATAAATAATAGGTTTGGTTTGAACTAATTTTATGAAGTATAAAATTATTTGAAAGCAAAGATTTTGTTATTACATACAGCTACTATTATTGTTATATATATATATATATATATATATATATATATATATATATATATATATATATATATATATATATATATATATGTATGTATATATATATATATATATATATATATATATATATATATATATATATATATATATATATATATATATATGTATACATATATATATATATATATATATATATATATATATATATATATATATATATATATATATATATATATATATATATATATATATATATATATATATATATATATATATATATATATATATGCTTATTTGTTTAAAAGATTAACCAAATAATACAACTCCCTCAGGAATTGTAGTATTGAGTATTAGGAAAACTTTATTTAATATAAATTTTAACTCTCCCGATAATAATTTGCAATATGCGAGAGAAAATGATTTTATTCTTTGTTCTTATTAAATTAAATTAGAAAAAATAATTATCGAAATGTTTGATTCCAATTTATTTTAAAACTAGTAAAAATATTTTATATTTAGTGATCTAGATTGATTGATTACACTGATAAAAAAAATTCGCGACAAATCTTAAAGAGTTTTTTTTAAAACGGCACTATTTGTTTTAATAATAGTAATATTTTATGACATTTTTTTTCTCATTTTATTTATTCTTGTGTTGCAATAAAAAAAATATATATGAACAAGAACTTCGTTAACTTTTTAAAAAAACGCAGAGATTCTTATAAGATTGTACACGGTTGGCACGGATCCTAATATTGCCAAGTGAGAAGACTTTAGAACGCCACTTATATGAGATGAAGGCGTACACATCAACATACTAAATATATATATATATATATATATATATATATATATATATATATATATATATATATATATATATATATACATATATATATATATATATATATATATATATATATATATATATATATATATATATATATATATATATATATATATATATATATATATATATATATATATATATATACCTTATTATGCAAATTTTGAAATCTTATATTTTTTTGTTTAAGTTAAGTGAAATTTTGACTTTACTTTGTGACAAAAAAAACACTTGTAGAATCTAGCCACTACATATAATTTAATAAAAATTACTGCAAATGTAGCATATAGCCACACCAAACTCTGGATGAATTTTATTCGGAAATTTTGACCAGTTTCGAATTTATGGCAGTTTGAGTTTATATCATGTCAGTTTTTTGCTAGACCTTAAAACTAGGGAAGGTCATTTTTGAAAAATTTAGGAACTTAGGTTTGTCTGGGCATTTCTTATGTCTTTGACCATATGATTTGTTTCTATTTCTTTCTTTTTTTTTTCTTTTTCAGGTAGGCCATATAAAATATACCTTTATTATTGTGATAAAAAGAAAATATATTCACAAAATTATTACGTATCAGATTGATAAAATACATTAATATAATATTGATACATTTATACAGTATTGACGCAAACTTTAATAAAAATTCTGGTATAATAACTATTATATATATATATATATATATATATATATATATATATATATATATATATATATATATATATATATATATATATATATATATATATATATATATATTGTTTTTTCTATACTTAAATACCTAAAAAAAAAGGAAATCAAAGAAGATTCAGCATTTTTGGGTATAAAATTCCAAAAAAAATCTTATCCCAGATTCCCTTAATAGCGCCGTTTGGCATATATCCTTGTCTAAATAAAGTAAACTTAGAAATATTTTTTCTGTAATTAGCTTTGCAATTACTATTTCTATTGTTATATATATATATATATATATATATATATATATATATATATATATATATATATATATATATATATATATATATATATATTATATATATATATATATATATATATATATATATATATATATATATATTTTATTTGTTATATTTTTTTATTTTTTTTTTTTTTTTACTTTTTTATAATTTTTTTTTATTAATTTATTACAACCATTTTTGCAAAATAAGAATAAACTTGCTGTTTAAACGACCATATTCCAAGTCTTAACAGTATAGACATTATTTGTAGCAAATTTTTAACGGTAGAGACATTAATTGACCTGTTTTATGAAATAAGAAGTAGTTTTTTCAAAGTTTAAGGATAGGTTTTTTGCTCTAAACCAATCAATTAAAGTTTTTCAGTTCAATATTCATTATTCCGAACATCGATTTTATATTTCTATGATTATAAAATAAAGTTTTGTCATCAGCATACATTATTGAAGATACTATAGATGATGCTTTATACATATTATAGATGTAAATTAAAAACAATAACGATTGAGGCTTGAGGGACCCCACATTCTATATCAAGAACACTTGAGTTTTTGTTTATTACAAACTACTTTCTGTTACTCAGATAGTTTTTTACCCATTTATACATTAGTCCTTTAATACCATTATGTTTTAATTTTGATATTAAGAAATTGTGGTCAACTGTATCAAATGCCTTTGAAAGGTCTACAAATACTTTATTTTTTTGTTGTTGTTGTTTTTGTTTTTCATTACGTGATTTAAAATACAAACATTTAAGATACTAATATAAATAAGAAAAATTACACTTGGAAAAGTTAATATATAAAGAACGCGGACACTCTAAGAAGACCTTAAGGTCTTGTCACAGAGAACCGCTGTTAAAATTTAGACAGTTCTTTCGTTATAGTTTTAAGTTACTTGCTTAAAGGTACTTGCTGGTACTCATGCGGCTTTTATCTATAATTTTTAGGTAATATTTCACTTTCTCAAAATCAAAATATATGGTCAAGTAATGTTCATTCAATGATTTTGATATTTCAATTGAGTTTTTCAACTTTATTTTCTATAACTACGACTAATTTCTCCATGAGTTACATGTTTTTTTTTCCCTTTAAAGTATATGTACAAGGTCAACAATAAAGTATAAATAATAAGGAATTTATGTTTTTCGTTTTATAGTATTGATTTTTATTGTATTGATAAATACTTATCAAGTACTTGTAGTGTAATTTCATGTTCTTTCTTCTTCTTAACTTGTTAACTCTTTTGTGATACATCTGTGTAATGCTACTCTTCTGGTATTTATGAATATGCACATACACCTACAAACGCACACGTATATACGTATACACATATACACGTACACATATCCAGATATATACATACATGCATACATTCATACCCGCATGTACATACATACATTCGTGCATACATGCATGCATGCATGCACACATATTTTCATACATATACACACATACACATATGTATATATATATAAACACATATATATACACATATACATGCACATACATACACACATATACATACGCATTCATAGGGTAGATTAGGGTAATATGAGCACCTTAAGCAAAAACTGGAATATTTTCAAAAATAAATATGCTGGATCCAAAATTTTTGCAAATAAACAATTTTTAGGGATCCCTATTCATAATCTATTTAGATATTTGGGCACTTGACATTTTTTCTTAAAAACATAGAGGTTTTAAAAAAGTAGGAAAAGTGCTCGTATTACCTTGACCCCTTGGTAATATGAGCACTTTAAATTAGCTCAAAAAAATAGCATTAATTAAGTAAAAAAAGACCGACCTGCTTAATAGAACTAATTGTTGGAATACAAGGATTCGTGATTAACAAAACATATCATTAAAAGATCAAATTTTAAGCTACATTTTGTTGAAACAATACTACTATGTTTTCCGCAAAAAAAATAAAAAAATTTATACATTGTTTTTTCAATTTTGTTAACTTAAACCTTTGAACAATAAAAATTAAACTTTTTTAGATTTAAGTTACAAAAAATATTTAGTATTGTTAATATATTAAAATTTTTTACTATGTTTTGTTTTTATTCAAGAAGCAATTAAAAACCACTGCCATTATAGGACTTTAAACTAAGCAATTTCAATGAAAAGCACTGGGTAATTTGAGCATGCTCATATTACACAAAAATGGTATCTTTAAATAAAGTCAAAAATAAATGTTTCTATGCATTATTTTTCAAACAAAAATGAATTGGATTTTTAGCTAATATATTTTTCTTTATGAAAAAATTAATTTAATTATTTTAGCACCAAAATATCGCGCCACAGAATTATTCACGCGTGATGATTTTTTTTAACAAAGCAAAAAGTTTAAAAGCGTTTTAATTAGATGATATCCGCTAATTACTGCGTATAAATTTACGCTAATTGTACTTATTCCTGTTATCACCACATAAAGTTGATTCAATAAACATAAAGCAACTTTAACTTCACTGTTTACATCTAATAAATCTATAAGTATGCTCATATTACCCTAATCTACCTTAATGTTTAGTCCGGTAATTTTCTGCCTAAACATTTTTATAATAAATATATCGTTTATGCAAAGTTATTGAAAATGCTTTGCTACTACTCAAAAGAAAAAGTTTAAAAAGATTCCTGAGCCTTAGTTAACCTGGTTACATCAATAATATATTAAAGTTACATCATAAATTACAATTTTACGGTATATTAACTCTATACGCTATGTTTAGTCTAAAATTAATTACTTTCCTTTACTATAATCGTAAATCTGTTACAATTATTAAAGTAAGTTATAATATTTAAGTAACTTGTATTTTGTCTTTATACATAACTAAGTTTATTACCTTAAGCTTAAACAACATAATAGAATCAGGGCCGTTCCGAAGAGATTTTAAAAGGGGGAGGGTGACTTGTTTGTTTTTTGCCGACTAAAGCCAAAAAAATTTTTTTTGCCCAGTAACTTATCTATAAAAAAAAAAAAATTCCTCGCTTTCCGACACTTGCCGGCTGTCTATTATAAAACCCAATTTGCCGACTACAATGTCCATTTTACCGACTAGAAAAAATTCGTAGGGAGCTAGATACCCCCTACACCCCCTCTCCTCAGGACGGCCCTGAATAGAATAAACTCCCATGATAAACTCTGTTAACAGTATCAAGTTTTGTAGATTTTTATTTTCTAAAACATGCTCGGAGCACCAGATTTAAAGTAGTCTATTTGCAAAATTCAACCATCTTGATCTATTGTGTGGGCCAATTCGAATCTCTTTAAAATCATCAGGAAAAACAGCTGATGCTATTGCATTGTGTAAATACTTTGATCTGTAGATAATGAATCTACAACTTCCTTCTCGAGAAGAATTAGGTCTACAAAATAAAAAAACAAGCTGAGGAATGAATGTCAAAATAAGAAGCTTTGTTGCTGTGTTAATAAATTTTCCGAAGTTTCCTTAAAATCTATTTTCATATAAAGTTTTTCAATCTAAAACTAACATTAAATGCCTAAGTAGCAATTCGTTGCTTTGTAGCGCACAAATAATCCAGATAAGTTTTTGAGTTTCTTGTCTAAAAATTGAGTTTTAACTCTAACTATAACTAGCTCTCTAAAGTTAAGGTGAAGACTAGAGTTATGGTGAAAACTAGCTACTCTAGAGTTGAGGTGAAGACTAGAGTTATGGTGAAAACTAGCTACTCTAGAGATGAGGTGAAGACTAGAGTTATGGTGAAAACTAGCTACTCTAGATTTGAGGTGAAGACTAGAGTTATAGTGAAAACTAGCTACTCTAGAGTTGAGGTGAAGGCTAGAGTTATAGTGAAAACTAGCTACTCTAGAGTTGAGGTGAAGACTAAAGTTATGGTGAAAACTAGCTACTCTAGAGTTGAGGTGAAGACTAGAGTTATAGTGAAAACTAGCTACTCTAGAGTTGAGGTAAAGACTAAAGTTATGGTGAAAACTAGCTACTCTAGAGTTGAGGTGAAGACTAGAGTTATAGTGAAAACTAGCTACTCTAGAGTTGAGGTGAAGACTAAAGTTATGGTGAAAACTAGCTACTCTAGATTTGAGGTGAAGACTAGAGTTATGGTGAAAACTCGCTACTCTAGAGTTGAGATGAAGACTAGAGTTATAGTGAAAACTAGCTACTCTAGAGTTGAGGTGAAGACTAGAGTTATGGTGAAAACTAGCTACTCTAGAGTTGAGGTGAAGACTAGAGTTATAGTGAAAACTAGCTACTCTAGAGTTGAGGTGAAGACTAAAGTTATGGTGAAAACTAGCTACTCTAGATTTGAGGTGAAGACTAGAGTTATGGTGAAAACTCGCTACTCTAGAGTTGAGATGAAGACTAGAGTTATAGTGAAAACTAGCTACTCTAGAGTTGAGGTGAAGACTAGAGTTATGGTGAAAACTAGCTACTCTAGAGTTGAGGTGAAGACTAGAGTTATGGTGAAAACTAGCTACTCTAGAGTTGAGGTGAAGACTAGAGTTATGGTGAAAACTAGCTACTCTAGAGTTGAGGTGAAGACTAGAGTTATGGTGAAAACTAGCTACTCTAGAGTTGAGGTGAAGACTAGAGTTATGGTGAAAACTAGCTACTCTAGATTTGAGGTGAAGACTAGAGTTATAGTGAAAACTAGCTACTCTAGAGTTGAGGTGAAGACTAGAGTTATGGTGAAAACTAGCTACTCTAGATTTGAGGTGAAGACTAGAGTTATAGTGAAAACTAGCTACTCTAGAGTTGAGGTGAAGACTAGAGTTATGGTGAAAACTAGCTACTCTAGAGTTGAGGTGAAGACTAGAGCTATGGTGAAAACTAGCTACTCTAGATTTGAGGTGAAGACTAGAGTTATAGTGAAAACTAGCTACTCTAGAGTTGAGGTGAAGACTAGAGTTATGGTGAAAACTAGCTACTCTAGATTTGAGGTGAAGACTAGAGTTATAGTGAAAACTAGCTACTCTAGAGTTGAGGTGAAGACTAGAGTTATGGTGAAAACTAGCTACTCTAGAGTTGAGGTGAAGACTAGAGTTATGGTGAAAACTAGCTACTCTAGAGTTGAGGTGAAGACTAGAGTTATGGTGAAAACTAGCTACTCTAGATTTGAGGTGAAGACTAGAGTTATAGTGAAAACTAGCTACTCTAGAGTTGAGGTGAAGACTAGAGTTATGGTGAAAACTAGCTACTCTAGATTTGAGGTGAAGACTAGAGTTATAGTGAAAACTAGCTACTCTAGAGTTGAGGTGAAGACTAGAGTTATGGTGAAAACTAGCTACTCTAGAGTTGAGGTGAAGACTAGAGTTATGGTGAAAACTAGCTACTCTAGATTTGAGGTGAAGACTAGAGTTATAGTGAAAACTAGCTACTCTAGAGTTGAGGTGAAGACTAGAGTTATGGTGAAAACTAGCTACTCTAGAGTTGAGGTGAAGACTAGAGTTATGGTGAAAACTAGCTACTCTAGATTTGAGGTGAAGACTAGAGTTATAGTGAAAACTAGCTACTCTAGAGTTGAGGTGAAGACTAGAGTTATGGTGAAAACTAGCTACTCTAGATTTGAGGTGAAGACTAGAGTTATAGTGAAAACTAGCTACTCTAGAGTTGAACGGCAGTCGCATTTTCTCCAACTATTTTGTTAGCAAAGAACCAAACATAGAATTTCTTAACCCCACTTTAAATATTGGATTTAATGCAACTAAAAAATCTGAAATGCTTTTATCTACAGGCAAAAAAAGAATTATAAGCTACCAGAATGAACCTTATAATGAATAAAAATTTTCATCTAATTCAAGTGAGTCTGATAGTTTTGAACTTGTAATAACCAAGAATGATACTAAAAATTTAGGAATCTAATAAATTCGCGGAAGACGTATTAACTGTGCTTAACAAACTTGCAAGCAAGGACTTTCGAAACCAATGCGAAATTTATTACTCCAAAGTTTTACCTATTTGCAACCAGTAAAAGCTCAAAAGACCACACAGTTGGTTGGCACGCAGTAAACGCTCGAATGACTACACAGTTGTTCTTTTGAGTTTTTAATAAACTTTATACTTTAATCAAATAATTCAAAAGTTATGTATACCTGTTTAATTGTTATTTTATTTAATTTAGGTTCCGATGACGATCTATCAACAAATACCGACAATAGTGGTAAGTAATTGAAAAATCATAAAAACATATCAACATGTTTTTTTTTTTTTACTTTGAACTTTAAGTAAAAATGGCTTTCTATGTTTTAGATAAGTTAAACAGTCATGGAAATTACACAAATCAACAAAAAATTTTCAGCAAAAAAAAATTGTTTTTAATATACCATTAATCAATTTGATTTCAAATATGCAACCTTTTTCACTACCACCTCAAGTTGTAAAGATAATTGGGTTCAAATCTTTAGCATTTGAGGGAAAACCCATAATATTGTCACCAATAAAAATTTTTTAATGTATGCTAATCTAAAAAAAACTTTGACATTGAAAGAAGCATATTTTCATAGAGATTTAAAAAATATTATTTGTTTGGTAAAAAAAAAAAAAAAAAACTTATATTATTGCTGAAAAACATTTTTAAAAAATTGTTTTGAGTCACAAGCGCTTTTTACATTAATTTGTCAATAAATTTTAGGTAAAAATATTTCTTTTCTAAAACCTTAAATTTTTTATGAAAATACCTTTCTTTTAAGACCTATTTGACATACTTCTAAATTTGATTTAAAAGTATGTAATAGATTTGAACCCTTACGATCTTTATAACTTAACGTGATGACGTGATGGTGAAAATTGAGTATTTAAATATTTAAATTCGAAGTAAAATATGCTTTAAAAAAAAAAAAAAGATTTTTATGTTAGCCTGTATAATTTTTTTTTTGTTTTGATGGAACTGGGATTACAAAAGTGATAAAACCTCTATAAAAAAGAGTAAAATAAGATTCAAATGTTATTCTGGTTTTTCCAAAAGATTTTTTAATTTTTCTGGAAGCATCTCAATAACATATATGACACTAGGTTTTTTTTGATAAGTTGCAGTATTTTATTGTATAATTTAGATAAAAAAAATAATAAAAATGAACAATAATTATAATTATAATTAAACAATAATTATAACTATCAATAATGCTAATTTATTAATAATGAAAACTTTATAATTATGTCTGATAACTCAAACTTTTATTAAGTCAGATTTTCAATTCCTATTGAACTTTCTATACATACCGAGAGCTTCCCCTAACTCTGACATTCGCTGAGTCTGACTATTTATCTATTCCCCTTGAGAGTCAAGACTTAACAAGATTCTACTGTATATATTTTTTGAAGTATAATTTCATGATTAAAAAATACAAAAAACAAACAAACTGCAGAACATTCTAGAGCCACTATTTAAGTTACTCTATAAAATATATAAAACAGTAAATAATATATTTATATTATATTATTAAACAAAACAGTTTAAATTGGATCAGAACTTAAAATATCTACAAGTTTCATACTATGAGGAGTTTTCCTAGCAAAACAATCAATCACTTCATTTACATCAATGCTGTTATCTTGGTGAACGTGCATTAGAGCAAGACTATTAAATCTGTGACATTGTGTTACGTAGATGGGTTTTTAAACAAAGAATAACAGAGATTGATCTTTCGCAAGTGCATGTTGTTACTGGAATAGTTGCAAGAATTTGAATTAAGGTAAATATATTAGAAAAAGTTATTCTATCAATAAGAGGAAGGAGTTTGGTTAGAGTAGTTGAAGAGGAGTTTTTAAAACTACGCTAATAATCTTCCCACATGTTTAATCCTCATACTCATTTAAAAAAAGAAGAAAGTTGCTTCTCCATTCAGCAATACTTAAAAGGTTAATTGGCATTGCAAAGGATCCATTATAAACAGCAATGTTTCTTTTAGAAAAGCGTAATTGAATCTGGGATGATAAATGGTCAAGAAAAGTAATTGTAATAACTTTCTTGTAATACTCATTAATAGATTCACAAGGACAATTATTTCAATTAGGCTGTTTTCCTATTGTACGAGGCTTGTGCTCATGAACACCAACACTAGCTGCCAATACAACTGACTCACTATACAAAGCACTATGACTGTGTTCAATGTCTGATCTTAGTCGCTGAAAATTTGTTACATCTGCAAGATGTAACAAATTTTCTTTTTTATGCGATACAAAAACATTAAAGTTTGGAGATTGAAATTGTTTTGTAATTGGTCTTGTTACTTCCAAATAGCGAGACACCACTACTAAAGTAACAAGAAACTGGAAAGATCTAGTAGCAAAAAATAACTATTTGCATCACGCACTGAGTCATGATTTCAAGACTTTTCATCGTTATTAACTATTAGCTCAAAGCATTTAACTAAAGCAGAAAGTATCTCTATAAACACATCTAAACCATCAATTCTGGGAATCCATCTTATACAACATACATCTATTTGACGAGAGTGATGAGCTTTTGTAAACATTTCTATAATTTTTTTTCGAAACATTAAAACGCTTTGGGATAAAATTAAAGAACTGAGATATAACACTAACATTTGACATCATATTTCTAACTATTTGTATGTTACAGGCATTTGCAACACAAAGATTGAGCACATGAGATTCACAATGAACATACAATGATTTTGGATAAATAGTTTTTATTTATACAGCAGCACTGGAACAGTTCCCAGCCATGTTACCAGCACCAACATAGTCTTGACCGTCACAAAATTTTGTTTCTAATCCCAAATTTTTAATACTATTCAAAATTTGGCTAGCTATAGCCTCTTTAGACATGCCTGAGTCGCAAGGAATAAATCCAAAAAATAGTTCACAAATTTCACAATTATCATTTACAAAGCGTAATACAAGTGGCATTTGTTCCATTTTGCTAATATCAGATGCTTCATCTGCTAATATTGAAAAAAATTTAGCTTTTTTAACTTCACATTTCAATTTAGAAACTATAATGTCATTACAAGTATTAATCAACTCATTTTGAGTAGTTTTAGAACGATATGTAGCATTTTTTGGAGTAGCAATTTGCCCATTCACCGAACTGTTTTCTACAGAATCAGATATTAATTTCAAAATTGATTAAAGATTGCCAGAGTTACTATTTTCATTCTCTTAGTAAAATGAATAATCTCTGTGACCTCGAAGAGGTATGTTTTGTTTTCCACAGATAATAATTGCCAGAACTATTGGTTTTAATATTTCTCTATTTTTCTTGACTTGTTCATTGTAACTTTGTTGAGATTTAAGTCAATAAAATTTATCTTTTGCTCCTTACATTGGCGAAAATGAGTTGCCTTTAGACTTTCAGTTTGGTGAATTAGTGAATTTTCAGCATGTTTATTAAACTTATTAATGGCCTTTAAATATGCCACAAATGGAGATTTATAAAGCTGAACAAGTTTACTTGCATTATGACTTGATTCTTCAGATCCAAAAATAACACAATTAAACACAATAAGCACCTTTTTTAATTTCTGAATATGCAAGCCAAGAGTATAATGAGTGCCAAAAGAATTGAAAGGAACGATCTGAAGGAACAACCTGAAGGAACGACCTGAAGGAACAACCTGAAGGAACAACCTGAAGGAACAACCTGAAGGAACAACCTGAAGGAACAACCTGATTTATTGGATTCAAAATGAAAACTAGAGCTTGGTTTATAAACATATTTTTGTTAATCATACTTATCTTCATTGCCTAGTTTATTAATTCTATAAGTTTCATAGAGGCCGATATTGTATTTGTTTACATAAGATAGTTCACATTTATTTCCAAAAGCAGAAGAACTACTTTTAGAGTTTAAATTTGCCTTACTCGGTGAATGGATAAATTTTGAAGAACATTCTGCAATCGATAGTGTGGAAGAACTTTTTAATTTAATTGGTGAAGATACAACACAAATTTTTTTGTCTGTAGGAAAAGGTGCCTTAATAGTAGTTTGATCAATTGTGAGTTGCTTTCTTTTTTTTAAAGTGGAAAGAATTTTAACTGGATCTAAAATATCTGTTTCCTGAGTAGAATCAGGAAACAGGATACTAGATTTTGAAGAAGTAATTTAATTAATTTCAGGTAATTTTACTACTTTAGGTGCAAAAATATTAGAAACTTGGTATTTTTTAGGAATACATTTTAAAGATATTAAAGGAACAAAGTGATCTTTGTTTAAAATATACTACAGGTCTGTTTAAAACCTGCAATAATTGAAGAGCAACGAAGAATGTGTATTTTTTTTACAGGTGTGCCTAAAAAATATTCAACACGTGGTCTAACAAAGCAATTGAAAAATATTTCATAAACAACATTTTCTATTTCTTTTCTATCCTTTTCTATAGGATAATATGATTCAATTGGTATTGCAACAACACTTGAGAGAGCACACAAAGTAAGAAACGAGGAATAACAATAATTTGTTGCAATATTGATAGATTCTGATATGACACTTAGTGTTCTATTATTTTTACAAAAAGAATTATATGCTTTTTGGGAAACAATAATAGAAAAAGCTGTGTTTTGATCAATTCTTCGAGATTTGGTAGCATCAGTTTGAGAAAAAATAATTGGATGGTTTAAATAAAAATCGTTTCTATATAATTCGAAACTACGTTTCTATATAATTCGAAACCGGTCAGGCATTTAAGGTACTCTGACAAAGATTCGTTGCCAATTAATGATATAGAACAACATTAAATAAACAGTTTCTGTTTTGAGATGTTCTAATAATAAAAAAAAATTAATTTAAGTAAAGCAACATAATTTATGTTATGTCACAAAATAATTATTACATAATTTTTTATCATAAAATAACTTACTACACCTTTTCAAGATGTAATTGAGAAAACAAAAATTGTAATTAAGAATCCTAAGATGTAATTGAGAAAACAAAAGTTGTAATTAAGAAACGTAAGATGTAATTGAGAAAACGTAAGTTGTAATTAAGAAACATAAGATGTAATTTAGAAAACGAAAATTGTAATTAAGAATCGTAACATGTAACTGAGAAAATGTAAGTTGTAATTAAGAAATAGAAAGATGTAATTGAGAACACGAAAATTTTAATTTAAATATCGCTTTAAAGGAGTAAGTGTAAAATGGCGCTTAAAAAAAATGGCGCGTATAAAATGACGCACTTAAAAATGACGCAAGATTTGTAGCGTAAA